GTTTGGTTCCGCCTCAGACTTTGACCTTGACCTTTTGAAGGAGAATCTCTTTGGTGAAATTGGAAACAAGCCTGGAGAGGGGTGATGATGATGGGTTGGTGATGAGTTATTAGTTGTATTAACACTCAGACTACGTATACGTGCAAACAGTTTCTTAGGGCGAGACTTCTTTGAACTGGGTGATATCGGGGAGGTTGGGGATGGGGATGTATCGGTAGAACTGGGAAGTGACAGGGTGTCGTCTCCATTCCAAGTCCCAAGGGGTATATTCTCCATCTCCTCTTCATCTGGTTTCATGATTCCAACCTCGTAGGCAACCACTGAAGCGTGGTCTAACTTCCCTGGGGCCTTCCCCATCTTATCAACAATCTCTGAATCTCTGTGTTCCTTGTCCTTTAGTGTCATCTTGCGTCTTACATATAAAGCTGGATTTTCTAATATTTTCCGTTTGGAATCTGTCAGTGACAAAACATGTTGTACTAATGCTCCACAGAGTTCCTGAGCAGAACACGGTTCCTCTGTCACTAGTTCATACTCATGTATAATGCGCTCCATCTCCTTCATTGCGTAGATGTGTCGCTCCTTTGGCTCCATCTCCGGTCTGATGATTGGACTTGATGTTGGAGATGTGGGTGATAAATTGTTAAAATTTGAATCACTTTCTCTTCTTGGTAGAGCTAGCTTTGTCACAACAGGATCAAAATTGTCAGAAATGCCATCTGTTGCTAAAAATACAACATCACCCTGATGAGCAAATGTAATGGAACAAGTCAAATTTCTGAGTTCAGGATTTTTTCCATTCACAGGACCAAGTGCACCACCGGCATCTCGTATGTCTCTTTCCGAGCTGATGTCATGTGACCCCACTGTGACCTCTCTGATGCCTTGATTATGACTTAAAACGTAAGCATAGCTGTCCCCAACATTTACACAACATACAGCAAAATGCTCAGAATTTTTCACTGGTACAACCATACAGGCACACATTGTAGTAAGTCCTCCATCTTTGGCTAAAATACAACGATGTGCTTCATCAAATGAGCGCCTCAGCAGTTCTATTACATCCTGCAAAAACAATAGAACTAGAATTGAAAAAGTAATTATACCATTGTTGAAATGTGATAAATTCACCTCCTTTTATTTGTGCATCTTCTCATCCATAAATAATGAGGTGAATTGGGGATGAAAAGTTTGAAAAATTAAGTAAAAGTGTGTACCAGAAAACTGATTTTTAATGCAGGACAAAAGATTTTTTTAAATCTAATGTCAAACTTTAAGGTTGGTAAAATTGCTCTTAAACCCTTTTAAGATCATGTATGTCTCTATACTTTGTGATCCTATGTAGTTATTTGATGAATTTCATCTGACACTGGCAGAACTGGGATTCTGATCCCAAATGTTACACTCAATCAATGAGTTTTAATATCCTCCACATCTTTACTTTAATGAATGATCTGGTATATGTCAGGGACCCCACAGGTATGGGAGATGTCAGGGACCCCAC